AGGCGTCCTGCAGACGCTCTAGGGGCCGAAGCATAAAGGAAGGTTTAGGGGGTTCCGGGGGGTTTAGGGGCCTCTGAGAAGCAGCCAGCTACCCGAACAGCAGGTTTCCGTGCTTAGGGTGGAACTTGTAAACACGACCTACGGCGCACGTCCCTTGCAGTGATGAAGCCGCTTTCACAACTCAACGCCAAGCCCAAAATGAAAGCTGAAACCTGAAACCAAACCCCCAAACCCTACCTAGACCCCCAAGGAATTACCTAGGAAGGTGACCCAAGAAGACCCACTTCCGGCGCTTAAACTTGCGAAATCAGGGGGGGAATCAGGGGGGGGGAGGGGGGGGGGGGAAGGGGGGGGGGGGGGGGGGGGGGAGGGGGGGGGGGGGGGGGGGGAGGGGGGGGGGGGGGTAGGGGGGGGGGGGGGTGGGGGGGAGGGGGTGGGGGGAGGGGGGGGGAGGGAGGGGGGGGGGGGGGGGGGGGGGGCCCAAACCCTAAAAATGCCAACCCAGGTGCGCAGGGTGGGCTCGAGGCGGGATATCCCGCGGGCAGCTCCACCCGAAGTGCCGTGCCGCAGCCGACGTGGACCAGCCAGGACCAGCTGCTGAGCGCCTCTTTTCTTGGTACTCTAGCGGCCTTTGTAAATAAGAAAAGGACTTTGGGAGGGGGGGGGGGGGTGTTTCTATCGTATAGTTATCAAGGGACCATAAGGGAAGATGATTCGCAATTCCCGACCCCCAAAAGTGCCAGGTCTCCTGGCTTAGGGGAATTGAGGCTTTGGGATCTAAATGTCTTTGGAGTTGTCATACTTTGGGCGGCTCAGGGTTGCTATGGGTTGCTGGAACTTGGGGTTCAAGAGGTTTAGGATCTAGGATTTAGGAGGGGCGTAGGGATTTGGAGTTCAGGGCTTCGGTTCTCAAGGTCTTTGGCAGGGTTTTGGGCTTTGCCACATATTACAGTCGGGGTCGGTTGTGGGCCTGGGCTTGGCAGTTAGCTCCTTGCAGAATACGTTGGCTACTGCAAGGCATCCTTTCTGCCGGGCCAGAAGCAGTTGTGCAGATGGGAGGGAGGGCCAGTGAAGAGTCCAGGGGCGTAAGCACATGTACCACCACCAACAACACCAGGCTGCGAAGCTCGTTTGGAGTTCCAGCACCAGCAGCATGAGCAACCACAGCCGCATCAGCAACGCACTGGGTCAGATAACCAAAGATCATTTACACCTGCTGGGTTCTGAGGGCTTTACTCGGAGAGTGCGCAGCTTTCCATGCCTCTCCTCACCAACCCTATCGCGGCCCCTAAGAGCTTAAAAACCCTCAACCCAAATCCACGCAGTGCCCTGGCTTTTGAAAACGTTGAGAGGACACCCAGAGTAGCCTCGAAGTCCGAAGAGTAGATGGCCTCCAGCGCCTCCTGCTCCTTTTGCCGAAGGATGCTTCAGTAGGGTGGCACGAAATCAATCAAGACTGCTCTGAGATCAACAAACAAATTTCACCTTGCAGGTGCCTGTTGTCATCGAATTATATAGGGGCCTGAATAACTAGAATAGAGTTTTTGGGGGGTGATTATAGTTATTTTTTACAAAGGAACCCTAACAGTTTAGGGTTTAGGGTTAGGGTTTAGGGTTTAGGGTTTAGGGTTCAGGGTTCAGGGTTTAGGGTTTAGGGTTTAGGGTTTAACAGAGCCCCGTCCTCCTCCAGCTTCGGATCAGCAGGGCCATCGAGAGACCACGACTTGCACTCCGGGAACAGCGACCGCGACCACTTCCTTCAAGGACGCGCAAAGACCCCAAGCTTTTCAAACAGAGAGACATAGGGTTTAGGGTTTAGGGCTTAGGGCTTAGGGCTTAGGGCTTAGGGCTTAGGGCTTAGGGCTTAGGGCTTAGGGTTTAGGGTTGAGGGTTGAGGGTTTAGGGTTCAGGGTTTAAGGAGCGCTCTGAGGCAAGTACAGGTATTCGTGTAGAAGTCTAAGGTCCCCGAAACCCTAAAGTCGAAACCCCAAAAGCCCCTAACGACCCGAAATAACCCCAAACCCTGAACCCTACTTGGAGGTTGATGGGTAGTTATAAGTGGGAAGTAGGGGAACTATAGTTATAGCTGCTGATGACCATATACTTTGTAAACTTAGAACTACCCCAATGAACCTTCAACTAAGCCCCAAGCCCTAAACCCCAAACCCTAAACCCTGAACCCTAAACCCTAAACCCTAGACCCTCAACCCTCAACCCTAAACCCTCAACCCTAAACCCTAAACCCTAAACCCTAAACCCCAAACCAAAGGCTCCCCTGACCCTTCAACGTGCGACTGGGGCGCAGCTCGGGGCAACTCTGGCGAAGGAGCTCCCAGAGCTCGGACCTCAGCCAAGAAAGCAAAGCGAGCACACCCTAAACCCTTAACCCTAAACCCTAAACCCCAAACCCTAAAGCCCTAAACCCTAAACCCTAGAACTCTTCAGGGCTCATCCGAGGTTGTTTTGAGGGATGCTCCAGGGCTTTTGAAGGCTTTACGATGTTGAAGAAGGTATCCGAGGCCCACAAGACTCCCAACAAGGGAAACGCAAGCCCCACACACCCCCCCCCCATGGGCCCGCCCCCGGTAGTTAAAAAGTGTGGTTAGAGGTAAGGCAACTAGAAGTCTCACCTGATGTTGGGTACTTCTCACCTCACCTTACAACTACCCACAAACCTTCAAGTGCTTGAAGGCACACGGGTAGGTATAGTGAGGGCGGCATGTAGCTTCAGCGGGTGTCCGCTCCTCTGCCCTACTTCTCCTACTTGCAACCCTCATTTATACGCACGCAACCCGCATGCTCCACTTAGAACCTTAATAGAAATATTTTTTTTTAACATCCTCTTGGGTTTTATATAAGCAAAAAAAGAAAAAATCCCAAGGGGGATATAGAAAGCTGGCGAAGCCTAAGCCAGGCTTGGTTCCCCCGCCACACCGCATCCAGCGGACTGCCCGGGTCTTCGACACAAAAGGCCACGACCACCTGCATCGGGCGTGGGGATGCGGGGATTTCCCGGGGCCCGTTTACGGGCTACTTAGGCATAGGGTTTAGGGTTTGGGGTTTAGGGTTTAGGGTTCAGGGTTTAGGGTTCAGGGTTCAGGGTTTAGGGCTTAGGGTTTAGGGTCCTTGGGTTTAGGGTTTAGGTTTAGGGTTTAGGTTTAGGGTTTAGGGTTTGGGGTTAAACCGTGGAGCTGTGTTCCCTGTAAGCTACAGGACTACCTATGGCATAGGGTTTACTAAGGCCAGAAGCGCCCCCAACCCGAGATCTTGTCAATAGCGTCTTGGCATTCAAAAATCGCGGCCGTGTATGCGGGGGTTTCCGAAGTTACGGGTACTACCTAAACCCTAAACCCTAAACCCTAGCCAACCCAACCCTACCCTAACCCCTAAACCCTAAACCCTCAACCCTAAACCCCAGGACCCTAAATCCTAAACCCTAAACCCCAAACCCCAAACCCTAAACCCTAAACCCTAAAACCGCAAACCCTAAACCCTAAACCCTCAAGAAGGGCGTTGCGGGGCTTTGCGGGAGGCGAGCACACCCGGCTGCAGGGGGCCTCCAGGAGCTGCAAAGATGCTGAGACCTTGTGCCTCAGGGGAACCCTACACCCTACACCCTAAACCCTAAACCCTAAACCCTAAACCCTAAACTTTTTAGCCCCAAGCCCATCCCAAGCCCTAAACCCTAAACCCTAAACCCTAAACCCTCAACCCTCAACCCTCAAAAACCCTCCAAACCCGAAAGCCCCTCAAGCCCAACGGCTTTCGGGTTCCAGGCTTCTGAGTGAAGTCTTCCGGGTCGGGGGTTTAAGGTTTTGGGTTTAGGGTTTGGGGTTTGGGGTTTAGGGTTTAGGGTTTGGGGTTTAGGGTTTAGGGTTTGGGGTTTAGGGTTTAGGGTTTAGGGTTTAGGGTTTAGGGTTTAGGGTTTAGGGTTTGGGGTTTAGGGTTTAGGGTTTAGGGTTGGGGGGGGGGGGGGGGGTTGGGGGGTACCGGCTCTAGGGCTTGAGGGTTTGGAGGTTTTCGGGGTTCTAGGGTTTGGGTTTCGGGCTTTAGGGTTTCGGGTTTAGGGTTTAGGGTTTAGGGTTTAGGGTTTAGGGTTTAGGGTTTAGGGTTTAGGGTTTAGGGTTTAGGTTTAGGGTTCCTCTCATGGGTTCCATGGGCCTGTGCACTGGCTTTCTGGCTTCGCGCGGCTTGGAGAAAGCAAGGGCTTAGTAAAACGACGAATATTAGCCCGCATGAATAAGGGTTTTAGGGTTTAGGGTTTAGGGCTTAGGGCTTAGGGCTTAGGGCTTAGGGCTTAGGGCTTAGGGTTTAGAGTTTAGAGTTTAGAGTTTAGAGTTTAGAGTAGTAACAATGTGCTAAACGACCCTTTCATATTATAGTAAACTGGCAAGCGAACACAGTGTATGCGCGTGTACCTTACACACTAAATATTGGGGCTTTTCACGGGCCATTTATGGCGGCCCATATGAATATCACCAACACAAGCTCTCCCCCCCTTAGCCCTTCGCCCTAGACCCTAAACCCTACCACTCCCCTGACACGATCGCCGCTCCCCGAAACCTTCATTCGCAGTGCCTGAAGAGGACTGCATGAAAGGGGAACCCCTGCAGGGATTGTTCTCGATTCAGTGCTGCTGTTGGGAGGACTTGTTCACGAGGAACTCGATCCTCTACCAAGGGCGTCCCGAGTTTCGAAAAAAAAAACCGTGGTCGGGCGGAGGATGAGGAGAGAGAGGCTGGGCACCCTGCTTCAGGGAGAAGCTATCCAGCTCGGTCTTGAACTCGGAGACGTTCTTGGGTGGCTGTGGGAGCCTGGACAGACGACACAGCTGGACCCGACAGTGTCGGTAAGGAACCCAGAAACCAAACAGGGCAACAGGGTACCACACTATTCCCTTCACCCCCAACCACCCCAGACCCGAAACCCTAAACCCCAAAATCCTAACCCTAAACCCTCAACCCTCAACCCTCAACCCCAAACCCCAAACCCCAAACCCCAAACCCTAAACCCTAAACCCTAAATCCCCAACAGCTCCAAAAAGGGGGCACCTGATCCGCAGCTCCTGCAGGTTCTTCGTGAGCTGCCGCTGCGGCGACGGAGGGGCCTTGCGGCTGTTATCCAGGACCTGAGCGCTGCCAAGCTTTAGGACTTTCAGGGTTTAGGGTTTAGGGTTTAGGGTTTAGGGTTTAGGGTTTAGGGTTTAGGGCTTAAGGCTTAGGGTTTAGGGTCTGAAGTGTTTGGCTCAAGGGCTTCAAGGGTTCAAAGGCCTTCCGATGAGGCTTGCGGGCTGCGGGCTTGCAGCGCAAGGGGGCTTGGGTGGTGCCAAGAGCGAGGCCCTAAACCCTCTTTACCGAACCCCCAAAATGGCGTCATAACGGACCCGAAACCCTAAACCCTAAACCCGAAACCCTGAACCCTAAACCCTAAACCCCAAACCATGTTTTGGCATCGATGCCTGTGCCAGCGTCCCTGCTAGTAATCTGATGGTGTGCTCTCAATACTTGGAGGTTCATGGTGCTTATTGACCAATTATAGCTGTACTTACAACTGTACTTATAACCAGGGGCTTGTAAGTGGGTTGTAAGTACAGTTATAATTCAATTTGTTGATAAGTACCATGAACCTCCAAGTATGTCTCGGTCATGCTTGCTTTCGGTGGGTGTCTCTGATTTTGGCCTCATGCCTCGTTCAGCAAGACCTCCTCCGTACGGGCAAGAAAGTCCCAAGATCAGGGTTTCTCTTTTGGATCGTGTTCAAGACTTCCATTACAAAAGGTACCTGGAAGGGGACTCTCATGTAGAAAAGCCCCCCCACTTGTTTCCTCCAGTTGGTTGCTGCAAGCTCTCTCCAGCTTCTGGTACGGTGAGCGCGCTCTGCCCCCCCCTCAACACCCATGGGTCCTCTATACTACCCCCCCCCCCCCTAATTCAGGCTATCTAGGGGTCTATAAGCCTAAGATAGCCTAAGTAAGGTGACTTAAGAGAGGAACCTAGGGGGGGTAGTATAGAGGGTAGTAGGGGAACCCATGAAACACCCAAAGAACGACTCGGCCCGGAGCCCATGCGCTCTTCAAGCACTGCTCCAAAGAAAGCCGCTCCTCGGGCCTGCCAGTTCAAGAGCCCAGGGGTCTACTATTTGCTTAAGAACCCCAAAAGAATTGTTTAAAAACAATAATCCCTCTATTACCGTTAATAACAATAATAATGATAATAATAATAAGGAGGAATACTTTTTGTTCTTTTTGGGTGGGGTTCTTGAGCAATTAGTAGGGGTTTGGGTTCGAGAAGCTTTCGGGGCACAGCTTAGGGGGGCCTGAAGCTCACCGCTTTCCATCGCTTCAAGCCCCCAAGCTCCCTGAACCCTGAAATTTCTGGTTTGGGAAACCCTAAACCCTAAACCCTAAACCCTAAACCCTAAACCCTAACCCCTAACCCCTAACCCCTCAACCTGAACACAGGGGGCTCTGGGTCTAGGGTTGAGGGCTTAGGGCTGTGGACTTCGGATTGTAGGGAGGATTCGACCTGACTACGAAGCCCCCAAATCTCACTCCGCACCCCATAGAGCCTCCAGAGCCCGAAACCCAAAAACCCAAATCCTAAAGCCTCTGAAACACTTGACAAATGAACACCGAATGAACTGGGCTGGTCTAACCCCTAGTCAAACCCTAAACCCTAAACCCTAAACCCTAAACCCAAATCCCAAAACCCTAAACCCTAAACCCTGAACCCTAAAGCCTAAACCCTAAACCCTAAAAGCCCTGAGAGCCCTAAAAGCCCTGCCTCTTCTTGATGAGACCGCGCAGCAACTCTTCGGCTCGGCCACTGCCCCGGAAGGAGAAGCGGCCTGGCAGGGAAGAAGCTGGTGCGTTTAGGGTTTAGGGTTTAGGGTTTAGGGTTTAGGGTTTAGGGTTTAGGGGTTAGGGTTTGGGGTTTGGGGTTTAGGGTTTAGGGTTTAGGGTTTGGGGTCTCGGGTTTCGGGTTTCGGGTTTCGGGTTTTGGGGTGTCCCGAGGCTCACGAGGGCTCGGGAGCTGCAGGGTTGACTGCTGGGACTCGTTTTGAGGGTCCTTAAGGGAGGGGTTTAGGGTTTAGGGTTTAGGGTTTAGGGTTTAGGGTTTAGGCTTTAGGGTTTAGGGTTTAGGGATTAGGGTTTAGGGTTTAGGGATTAGGGTTTAGGGGGGGAAGGGGGGGGGGGGGGGGGGGGGGAAGGAGGGGGTTCCGGTATGGGGTTCCGGTATGTAACCCAAGATTTCCTAACACTCCCCCCTACTCCAAGGCCAAGGCTCCCTCAGCCTCCTTAAGGTTCCCTCGGCACCTACCCCCCCCATGAACCCTAAACCCTGAACCCTGAACCCTGAACCCTAAACCCTAAACCCTAAACCCTAAACCCTAAACCCCAAGGTTCCCCCTTAAGAACTTGAAAGCTCATGCCCTTTCCGCCATGGCCTTCCCAAAACAAGGGATCCTGGAGGCGAGGGGTTTCGGGTTTCGGGTTTAAGGCTTAAACCGCCCTAAACCCTAAACCCTAAACCCTAAACCCTAAACCCGGGTTTCGGGTTTAAGGCTTAGAAAGGGGCTTCGGGTTTCGGGTTTAGGGCGGCTTCGGGCTTTGAGACTCAGCGCGGCGTTCTGGCGCAACTTCGCCTGGACCATACCCCAGCATGCCCGCACCCCGAACCCAAAGATCGAACCCCTGACCCCGACCACCAAGCCTGGAACGAAGATGAAAAACAAAAAGAAATCAACATCAAACAAAAAAACAATATGAAAAACAAAAAGGAAAAGAAAAGAACATAAACAATTACAAGAGTACAAAATAAATGAGAATGGCAGAATAAATTCTATAAAGCATAGTAAGTTACATAAAGACAGCGAACCCCCAAATCTCCTTCACCAAGTCCCTCCCCGGTCCTCCGAGCTCCAGAATGGGTTTAGGGTTTAGGGCTTGGGACTTAGGGTTCAGGGTTTAGGGTTTAGGGTTTAGGGTTTAGGGTTTGGGGTTTAGGGTTTAGGGTTTAGGGTTTAGGGTTTAGGGTTTAGGGTTTAGGGTTTAGGGTTTAGGGTTTAGGGTTTAGGGTTTCGGCTTCTGTCCTCCGAGCTCCGGAATGGGTAGTGGCCCGTGAGCATTACGAAGAGGATGACGCCCAAGCTCCACACGTCGGCCCTCCTTACTTGGAGGGTTCATTTGGGGTAGTTAGGTTTAGGGTTTAGGGTTTAGGGTTTAGGGTTTAGGGCTTAGGGCTTAGGGTTTAGGGTTTAGGGTTTAGGGTTCAGGGCTACTTCTACTTGGAGGTTCATTTGGGTAGTTTATAAGTAGGGTTATAGCTAGGGCAACGATACTTATAACCTTACTTAGGGCAATTGAAAACCCTGCTTATAAGTACCCATGAACCTCCAAGGAAGGGGACAAGGAAAAGCCCCCCAATCGCCTCTCCGGTGCTTATCGGGCGCTGCTAGAGCTTGCGGCTTGCGGTCACCCAAAGCTTGGGGCGTTTGAGCTTTTGAGGCTTCAAGGTCTGAGTCTGAGGTCTAGATTCTTGGCGGAAGTATAAGGGTGTGGCTGCCCAGAACCAGACCCTGCCAAGTTGCTCATCGTAGCTCCCCTGGCTTGAGCAGACATCCGGGGTCACCGAGTTGGGTAATAGGACCTCCGGCGCCAGGTACTGCGGCGTACCTCAGGACTAGCCCCACAACTGAAACGCAGCACGGGTCCAGGTCTGGGTGCCCCGGCCCACGTGCGACCGTGCGTAGGTGTAGCCGTCCTGACCACAAGAACGGCCTACTCGCGCCCTCATCCCAGGAACCCCGGCAGAGTCCAAACACATCCCCAAACCCTAAACCATAAACCCCAAACCCCAAACCCCAAACCCTAAACCCTAAACCCTAAACTCTAAACCCTCCCTCAAGGGCTTTTGGTGAAGCCCGTCCCGCACGAGCTTGGAGTGGCCGAAGTCCGAGAGCTTCACCTCCACCTCCCGGGGTCCAGAGAAACTTCGAGGCTGGCTCGGTTAAGGGTTTAGGGTTTAGGGTTTAGGGTTTAGGGTTTAGGGTTTAGGGTTTAGGGTTTGGGGTTTAGGGTTTAGGGTTTAGGGTTCAGGGTTTAGGGTTTGGGGTCTAGGGTCTTGTGGGCTTTACGGCTTGGTTGAGGGTTTTGGGTTGAGGGCTCAGGGAGCCGTTGAGGACTTGGGGTTTAGGGTTTATGGCCCGAGGAAAACGGCTGCTCGACGAGTCTGTTCGAGGGTTCAAGGGTAGGGGGTGTTGGACTGAAAAGGAGGGGTATGCAGAATGTGTTTATACTGCACATAGAGCGTAGCTCGATGCACATCTACTACATATATGCAAACAGAGACCATGATCAGACTTTCCATCTTTGTCAACTTGCTGCAGATGTGCAGGATTTGGGGATTCCGGGTGCTGATGGGCGCTGCAAAAGAGACACCCAGGCCGCGTGTGCCCCTTCCGCCCACTTATTTTGTCAACAACCTTCAACAACCATTTCGACTCTACATTCTGACATTCTCTCCCCCTAACATTAAACTCCCCCTACCCCCTAATATTAAACACCCCCATTATCATATTAGGACGAGGGCAGTAGATTCGACAAAACCATATTACATTGAAGTAGTTGTTCTCAGCCTCTCGGAGTCCTTTGCTCCGGGGGTCGTTCCAAAATGGATTTGGGGTACCCCCGATCCGCCTTTGTTTTGGTCGTGTGTGTTTGCGGGATTCTCTAGGGGTTGCAAGGGGACCGCATTAGCAGTTACCTCGCCTCCTGCGTTGCCCTCAAGCTTTGGTCGAGATGGGGTTTAGGGCCTAAGCCTAAACCCTAAACCCTAAACCCTAAACCCTAAACCCTTCTGCGGACGGTAAGATAGGGCGGTTCCCAAGACTCCGTGTAGGAAGAATGCCACAAGGCACCCGTAGGTCTAAGGGCTGATACAAACTTCAAGGCATGAACACCTTTGAAGGGAGCCTATCCTCCCCCCTAAAACCTGAACCCTGGACCCTGAAACCTGAACCCTAAACCCTAAACCCTAAACCCTAAGCCCTGAACCCTAAACCCTAAACCCTAAACCCTAAACCCCTCCCTCCCCCCCTGAAGAACGGGAAGAACCCCCGGATCGGCCTGAGAAGCCGTTGCTTTCAATTGGGATGAGGGCTCTGGCGCCGCATCCACGAGGAGAATATTCCTTGTCCCTAAACCCTAAACCCTAAACCCTAAACCCTAAACCCTAAAACCTGGGGGAACCCGCGCTTCTTACCCCGATTAGGGGTTAGGGTTCAGGGTTTAGGGTTTAGGGTTTCGGGTTTCGGGGTTCGGGTTTCGGGTTTAGGGTTTGGGGTTTAGGGCTTAGGGTTTAGGGTTTAGGGTTCCGCAGTGCGGGGTCCCCAAAGGATTCCCCCAAAATGGAGGGTCACCCATGTTCCCCAAAAACTGGAAGAGTCTCCCAAGAAAAGGTCACCAATGTAGAACAACCACACACAGAGAGACCCTAGACCCTAAACCCTAAACCCTAAAGTCCGGCTGAGGGCTCGCTACCACCACGTGAGAACCCGAAGCCGTCCGAGCGCTCAGCGAGCGACCTGACCACACGCCACGTCCAGCCCAGGTAAAGCTGTGGCTGCTGAACGCCTTGGCAAGATGAGCACACAGCCGTGCGCGCCAGGCGGTCGAGCCTTTGAGTGTCAAAGGTTCCCCAAGCACCCCGCGCCAGCGCCACCAACACCCCCCCCCCCCCCCCCGACGACCCCTTCCAGCTCCCCCCCACCCTTTCCGCCGCCCTTCCCCGCCCCCCCTTCCCCCCCCCCCCCCCCCCCCCCCAACAAGAGAGCCGTACTAACTTTTTCCAACTAAATCAACCAAACTAGCCTGGCTTGAAGAACAAAACTTTCACATCTCCAAAAACAGCATGCAAAAACACCACGGCCAACATGAAAAACAAGATTTTTTTGCCGCAAAACCAGTCTGAAACTTGTTCATTTTCAAATTCATGCGTGTCATCTTGTCAGTCAGAACGGAAGTTAACAATATTTTTCAAACAAAAAGAAAAATGACATGTTCGGGTGTTTTACAAAACAAAAATGGGCTGCAGCGACAGCTCGATATAAAAGGATTGTCGGCTCGCATGAGCAAGGTGTTGGCTTTCTGCACATGGCACCTGCTGCCTTTCGCTCGTCCTGGACCAGCTCATAGAGCACATGTCATGCGGTTTTCGTGGCTCCTCTCCCATCTGTATGAGGGAGTGGTTGCAAAGAGGCGCTCAGCTGGCTCTCAGCCAGCCCACGCACTTCTGCGTGGACATCCCGGCGCAACAGCGCGCGGGGTTTTGATGCTGCCAGGATGCTCCACGCCCCGGCCCCGTCACACAAAAGGGTTGTGAGCAGGTCCCACCGAGACGAACTTAAAGACTTTGCCGGCGCCCCCCCGAAAAACCGGTTTAACTCCCGGAGGTGGAGCTGGGGAGGCCAGGTTTGGCAGCCCCGTTCTCCTGCTTTGTGTAAGCCCTGAGCGGGAGCCGGCTCTCGCCCGGCCTGCCTCCTGTCCGCTGCTGTCTGAACTGAACGAGGGACGCTTTAAGACGGCTGCAGTGGAACAGGCCCACTGCCGTCTGGGGCCGAAACCCTACAATGCTATACGCCGGGTGGTTTGGGGTGGGTGTACCGCCACGCGACACGCGCGTAGGAGTGGGCCCGTGAAAGCCACTCTATAGGGCCCACGACGTGCGCTAAGAGCCACACCCTGAACCCTAAACCCTAAACCCTGCTCATCCCAAGTCTCTGGGGCTTCAAGTCTCTGTGCACGATGTTCTTGGAGTGGATATGGCTCCTTGGGTGTCTCTGAGGCACAAGCGCCAGCTCATTGAGTTGAGGTTGGGGGGGGGTGTATAACCCTAAACCCTAAACCAGGGGAGGGTTTAGGGGAGTGGGGCGGCCGACAGAAAGCGAGCTCCCCGAAGGCACCCTACTGCTTTGACAAATGGGGGTTGCCGACATTCGGGGGTGCCTTTTTGGGGGGATCCTGAATCACACTATTTGGGGGTATATATTAGGGGTCCCTGATTTTCGTAAACCCCCAAGTTTCTTTCTAAGTGAGCTAACCAAGGCTTCGCGAAAAGCTGCTTCCATGTTACGACTGACCATCGGACAAGACTTAGCTCTGCATGCACCGCCCTCACGTCTCTTCTTGAGCTGAGCGTCAGCCCTTCCACGATCTGCAGGAATACATGACAGGCCTCCTTGTCATCCAGTCGGCCGTGCGGCTTCTTGAGCAGGTACTCGCTCAGGTCGCCCCCGCGAACGAGCTCCATTACCAGGAAGAAGGTGTCCTTGGACCTTGGGCCACACATGCCCCCCCAGCAGCCAAAATTAGGACCTCCTGCCCCAGCTGTCAAGCCAAGCGTCTCGAAGACATCGATAAGCTTCACGATGTTCCTGCCGTGAGCCGAACATGAGCGAATGAGCCGAGAGCACCCCAAAAACATGGCAGCGGAGCAGTGTAGGCTGCATCCCTACTTGGGGTATATGTAGCGTCTTTGTGTTCATAGCCCTACTCAAGGCACTGAAACTCGAGAAACCCTTTCAAACCTGCTAAAGCTTCCTAAGCGCTTAGAACCCTAAACCCTAAACCCTAAACCCTAGACCCTAGACTCTAGACCCTAGACCCTAAACCCTAAACCCTAAACCCTAAACCCAAGCGCGCGGGCCTGTGCTGCAGCATGAGCAGCAGGGACATCTCCCGCCGAATGTGCTGACGAAACTTCCTTGGTGGCCCAGTAACCTTCTTATGTTAAGGGCACCCTTTTTTGGGGTTTAGGGTTTAGGGTTTAGGGTTTAGGGTTTAGGGTTTAGGGTTTAGGGTTTAGGGTTACTTTAAAAGGGAAACTTGAACCCAAAAAAAGGGAAAAGGGCACCACTGGGCTACCGAAGCTTCTGGAACTCCGGGTGGAGGCAAAACCGATGCAAGTCGATGACCTTGACGGCCTGGGAGATCTAGCAGAAGGTAGAGTTTTTTTGGGGTTTTGGGGCTTTGGGGTTCTAGGGTTTTAGGGTCTGGGGTTTTAGGATGTGTTGGGGTTTTGGGGTTTTAAGGCTTGAGTGTTTGAGGGTTGAGTTGGGGTCCGATGCCGGGATATGTTAGCACCAGAAGAAGGCTACAACGAGGAAGTCGCTCGTTCCTTCCTTCACTCCGAGGCCGGGAGGCATACTCATCCGCGCCACGCTTGCAGCGATACACAGTGGCCGTGGCACCCTGGGGCACAGTCATGGTTAAGTGCCTCTCTTGCTTTTTTGGCACTTGATAGGGAATCCGGGGAGTCAGCTCCGCACCATCCCTAAACCCTTAAAGCCAAAGAATCGAAAAGCGAAAAGCCTGGAACCGAACCCCTAAAACCAAACACCCGAAAACTCTAAACCTAAGCCCCACCATTTACTGGAAGCCGAATCCCAACCAATTGGGAGGGAGAGGGGGAGGGAGAGAGGGGGAGGGGCTGATGCACTACCTTCAGGGCCCCAAGACCCCTTCTCTTAAGGCTTTTCATCTGGTTTGGGGCCCAAATCCCTCATAATTTGGGGTCGGTCTTGGGCCCTAAACCCCAAACCCCAAACCCTCAAAAGGTTTGGTAGGGACATCAAGTGTATATTCTTTGCTACCGCGCTGAAGACCCAGCTTCGGGGAGCCGCAGGGTGCCCGGGTCACCCCAAACCCTAAACCCTGAACCCTGAACCCTAAACCCTGAACCCTAAACCCAAAAACCAAAACCTTGAACCTTAAACCCTAAACCCTAAACCCTAAACCCCGCTTCAAAGCAGCGGCTCTCGCCTGACCCAGCTTCTCAAGCATCGTGTAGGGAGCGTCGTCGGGACCGAAGGACTCTCGGCTTTTGGTGGCCTGCTCTTCACATGGTCACGTTTCTACGGCATGATCCCCTTTGGCAAGCCTAAAAGAGAAAGGGTCATGTGTTAACAGCGACCTGAACAGGTATGCCAATCTAACTTCTGCGCAGAAAGCTCTGAACGACACCCCAAAATCAGACGGCCGTTGGCAAGGAACTGCTAATGGAGCATGCTATTTGCGTGGCAAGGCTGAGCGCAAAGGATAGCCCAGAAATATTCCCGATATGGCACTTCGTAAAGAGCACTTCAAGTTTATGGACACCTTCGAACGCTCCTAGGCTGCTCCAAACACTCAGCACATGCGAGCGTGGCACAAACAGCCGAGCACGCTACACTTTCCGGAACAACACTGTGGGCGCTGCTGTTGATATGGGGGGGGGGGTATTCTAAACGAGACTACTATCGTGTAAGTTATTTAGGACAACCCGCAAATGCAGCGGTCGCACCGGCAAGGGCGACAGAGGAGTTTGCTGCTGCGGCTGGCACGCCTTGGGCCGGGTGTGACAGTTCGCAAAGTAAGCTGTCGGATGTTGATGTTCTTCCAGGCGCAGGTCCCCTTTGAAGGAACTTCAACTATATAGAATGCTGCATGTAAGCCCCCTAAACTGTGCAATATAGGGGTCGGAATAAGTACTAATAGTATTCCCTTATGGCCCCTTTATAAAATATCCAAAAAAAAACCCCGAAAACCTTCTTCTAATTATTCAGGCCCCTATATTAAATTATTCTCCTGACTTCATGCCGCTGGGATTCTTCGGCCAGGCGCTCCCTCTCCTCTTCTGAGAGGTTGAGGTACTCGGCAAAGTCCTGCCGATCGCGCACTCTCTGCAGCACATTTTAGTGGTCTAGGGTTTAGGGTTTAGGGTTTAGGGCTTAGGGCTTAGGGCTTAGGGGGTTTAAGGTTTAGAGTTTAGGGTTTAGGGCTTAGAGGGGGGCGTAGCGTTTAGGGATTCGCGCATCGGAACACAAAAGCCCACAAATGCAGAATGAAAAAGCATAATTCATGCGAACAATGTACCAATATCAGAATAAACATCGGAAGCAGTGGTACATGCAATCATACTAGCGCTGCCTGATCCAACAGCCCTCCCTCACGCAACTAAAATAACCACAACATCCAAAACAGAACAACCAAAAACATAAGGGCTTTGGGTGCAGGGTGGAGTTTAGGGCTTAGGAAACACCTAGAATTCTGCAGCCACCACGAACCCTAGAACCCTGGAACCCTAAACCCTAAACCCCAAACCCTAAACCCTAAACCGCATCTCCTCCCAGTTCTCACGGATCTCATCCAGCTCTGCCGCACCCATCTCCTCACACCAATCTTTCGCCTCCGAACGTTCAGGGTTTAGGGTTTAGGCTTTAGGGCTTAGGGTTTAGGGTTTAGGGTTTAGGGTTAAGGGTTTAGGGTTCAGGGTTTAGGGTTTGGAGTTTTTGGTGGGCTTGCGGGCCTTCAGGGGTTTGGCATTAAGAGTTTTCTTGGCAGAGGGTTTAGGTTTTGGGGTTTTGGGCTTCATTCCCTAAACCTTCTACCTACGAACCCTATGGACCCCTATCCGAAGCCTCTTAACAGCCCAGCTCACCTTCCCCCTGGCTCTTACTAGGGAATGAGGGAATTCGGGCCCTATATAGACCCTTTAAGGGAGTCTATAGGGTACCTCAGAAACCCTAAACCCTAAACCCTAAACCCTAAACCCTAAACCCTAAACCCCATTCCCCCATTCCCCCATTCCCTCATTCCCTCATTCCCTACTAAGAGCCCACACCCGCCTTCGACAGGAATCCATCCAGCTGCAAGACCGCCAGCCAGGCGCCCAGGGAGGGGATGTCCGACTGGTCTTCAGGTCGGGCCTCTCAACTACTATTTGCTTAAGAACTCCCCTCCAAAAAGCATAGTAATAATCCCTCTATTACCTCATAAGGAAGAATTTTTCTTGGGGGGGGGGGGGGGGGGGGGGGGGGGGGGGCACGGGGGGGGGGGGGGGGGGCACGGGGGGGGGGGGTCTTAAGCAACTTGTAGTCAGTCAAGCGATTCAGGGTCCAGGAGCTTTTGGCGCTTTGGGGCTTTGAGCTCTTCAGGGTTTCGGGTTTCGGGTTTCGGGTTTCGGGTTTCGAGTTTCGGGTCCTAAACCCTAATCGGGTTTCGGGCTCTTGAAAACTCACGTGTTTTGCACGTGTCGAGGATCTCGGACATTTGAGCTGGGAAATGCAAGGGGCAAAGTCTACCTCAAGCACTTGGCAGGGTTGGAGGGGAATCAGTAGGGCCTCGATAGTTGCTGGATAGAAGGCGCATCCAGTGATAACATCTGAGAAGGACGTTGCACGCCGGCAAAAGGCTGCGTGGTTTCGAGCCCCTGAACCCTAAACCCTACCCTAAACCCGAAACCCTAAACCCGAAACCCTAAACCCGAAATCCTAAACCCGAAACCCTCAACCCGAAACCCTAGACCCTAAACCCTACGAGCAAAACTGCACCCCACCAAGACTGCTGGGCCTCTTCTGAGGTGCAGGTTGTGGTGGTGGTGGTGCAAGTCTCTGTTGCTGCAAGCCTGAGAGGGAAGGTTTGCGCTGAAACATACTGCAAGATACGAAACCCTACACCACAGGCCCACAACTCGCGAATGCGTAGGCCTCGTCCCCCTAGAAGACCATAGTGGCCCATAGCCTCAAACCCTCATGGCCAAGGGTCTGCACCGCCTGCTGCGGATATCCACTCTCAGAATGACCAGAGTCCTCAGGCTTGCGGTTCAGGAGTTGAGGAGGGTTGCTTAGTTGTCCAGTAACCTGGGGGAAATAAAGGTTCACCGTTGGGATTTTAAGGGGACTATACTACCCCGAAAAGGTTAAAGGTTACCTACTCTACTACAAGGCTTGAGGGATGCTTGCAAGAAGGGCCAGTTGGACATAGCTACCCTAAACCCTAAGCCCTAAACCCTAAACCCTAAACCCTAAACCCTAAACCCTAGTTGGATGTCCTCCGCGAGCTGGTACCGCACACCATAGCAGTGCTTGTCGCAGCAGAAGCAGCGGAAGCCTATGCCTCAAGCAGGGGCGCACGGAGCCCTCAGAGACCCTACCTGAACCCAGAGAGCCCAGGAATTACCTCTTAAACAAGGAATATACCTTAAATCGTATAGGGATCCTATTGGTCCTTAATATGACTTAAGGGATATTCATTATTCAAAGAGGTATTGGGCTCTTTTGGGAAAAGGTTCAGCGCTTTTTGCGTCGGAGTCGATGCAACTCAAGGCTCTAGAAGACAACTAGCCCCTACTTGTACCCCTAAACCCTAAACCCTAAACCCTAAACCCTAAGCCCTAAACCCTAAACCCTAAACCCTAAACCCTAAACTCCCGAGCCCCGAAACCGCAGCTCGGCACCGGGGCGCCTCCCTTGAGCGGCTGCGTCAGCGGGTAGCCATCCCAGCGCTTTGCACAGGAGAAGCAGACGAAGATGTCCGCAGCGCGGGGCAGCTGCATGCAGAGGGTCGACCCATCTCAGGGGGCATGTCAGTTCTCCCCTGTGTTCAATGTCTGACGCCGTGAGATGTGCTGAGGCTACTGGGGGGACCCTGGCTACACCAAGCCAAGCTCTAACATGAGAAGGCGTCTCGAATTGCACTGCACATCCGATTCTGCTCTTCTAAGCAACCCTGAGCCCTAAATTCTGAACCTTCGACATCGTCATGAGCAGGGATACTTCCGGCATGACTGCTTGGCCCAAGCCAAAACAGACTGCGGAGGTGGGGTGGCCCAGTCCACTAGGCAGCCGGGCCCCTAGACCTTAATCTTGGGATGCTGAAGGACTGCTACTATTTCCTTGTGAGTAGACTGTTAGAAAAAGGGGGACCATCCCAACCTTAACCCCGAAACCCCAACGCAACTCACTTCTGTTTGAGGCTTCTGAACAAGTAGGAGTACGGTAGGAGCACTGCAAGGAACCCGCGGTTTCCAAACTCCGCGAAGGCGAAAACCCTTTAGCCGAAGGGTACTCGGCCAGGAAACTCAGGGACCAGGTTTGGCTCAAGGGAGGGTTTAGGGTTTGAGGACTTGGGGGTTTTAGGATTTAGGGGTTAGAGCGTAAAGGCGTAGGGGCAGCAACATCGCCTGAGGGTGCGACCACTCACCAGGCGAGGTCCAGTCCTTGTCATTGGCCTGGAGCCTGCAATTCGCCCAGGAAGGCGGGGGGGCATGGGGCTTTCGGCGCGCGTTTGGATATCGGGCGGAGTAAGATCTCGTTTGTGTACTTGAGCATCACTCATTCCCAGCCACCTCGACACCTCGATGACACAGTGCCCCATCGGGTTTAGGGGTTAGACTCTAAGGGTGCTCCAGGTACACATGAGGCGTCTGCGAAAACAAAGGACCCCTGATACAGTCCCCCAAATAGTAGGATTCCCGTATAACAAGGACCGCAAAAAGTACCCCTAACTTCCGAAACCCTCACGTCGAAACCGCCAAAACGTCTCGGCCGCAGAGGCGACTCAATGAATCTTCAAGGAACCCTAGACCGGAAACCCGACACCCTCAACCCTAAACCTTAAACCCTAAACCCTAAACCCCAAACCCGAAACCCTACACCCTCAACCCGAAACCCTAAACCTTAAAACCTAAACCCTAAACCCCAGACCCGAAACCCTACACCCTCAACCCGAAGCCCTAAACCTTACACCTTAAAGGGGTAAACGGCCGTGGCAGTCGACGAGTCGGCCTGCCAGTTGGGCGGACGGTGCCCTGCGCCTCGTCTCCGGCAAAGGGGAAGAGTTCCTTGGGGCTGCGAATTTCGGGGTTTAGGGTTTAGGGTTTGGGGTTTGGGGTTAGGGCTTGGGGTTTAGGGTTTAGGGTTTAGGGTTTAGGGCTTAGGGTTTAGGGTTTAGGGTTTAGGGTATAGGGCTTAAGGTTTCTGATTCTGAGGGCGAAGGGGGAGGTGGAGCTTTGAGGCATCAGGGATTACGAGTTGCCGATAGAGAATGTCACATGCTGAAACCCACGATCAAAGCCGAAATCCCGCTCCAGGAAGACCATCCCAGACCCTACACCTTTAGGCTCTAAACCCTAAATCCTAAAACCCCCAAGTCCTCAAACCCTAAACCCTCCCTTGAGCCTCAAGGTCTTGAATTTCGGGCTTAGGGCTTTGCAGGGTTTGCAGTTTGGGGGATTTGGGGTTTAGGGTTTAGGTTTTAGGGTTTAGGGCTTGCCTAAGCCGTTCGGCTGCACTTAGATTTCCGGGGTTGCTGCGCCAAGGCACGATCTTTCCAAGCTGGCCCAGCGCCATGCGACAAGCCAGTGGGCACCATAGGGTTTAGGGTTTAGGGTTTCGGGTTTAGGGGTTTAGGGGTTTAGGGTTTAGGGGTTTAGGGTTTAGGGTAGCTCATGGGACTATGTCGATGTTCGCGTATTTTGAATACCATGGCGTAAGTTCATTTGGCTGCTTTCTACTCGGCTGCAAACTTGAAGATCCTTTGTGAGAGCCTGCCCGGCGGGTGGTTGAAATGCCAACGTGTGGCTGCCATCAAGCCCTTTTCCCACTTCATCTAAACACCGCAGAAGGAGCTTATACTAAATGGGCATCATGAGCGCTTCTTGAAGTTGCGCCTGGTCTTTTTGCAACACACTAAAATTCTCCGGCAACTCGAAATCGGCGTTGCCCGCCATTCGATTCGAAAGTTGCCTATTCGGAGAGGTCTGCTTGCGCCAAAAGCAAAACGAATCCCATTGCGGCTGAGCTCAACCAACGGAGCTTTCGGCGCTAAACAGGCGAATTCATAGCAGCGGCCCACAAAGCACCCCATTATATATACTCCTATGTATATATATATATATGTGTATATTCACTACTAAAAAATATATTTGTACATGCATATGGACTTGCACTTCAAGCTTCTGTCCAAAGTTAGCTGGTGTGGTGATGTGATGTGCCCTGACTGTAACAGCACAGAGATCGTGACACATTGTGACAACAGCGCTGCAACGCGTCAAGAAACCAGTGAACCGGTGTGCCGTCCGCTACATCTAAACTCGAGATCGGCCAGCAGTGTCTACGCCAATGAGATGCATCTGCCCCCAACTGGCAACCTATGCAGCTGCTGTTGAAGACTTGGCCGGTTGATACAGGGCATGTTTCTAGCCATCGTAGCCTACGTAAGAAAGCCAGGACTGAAGGTGCCCATGCAAAGTTAGGCCGGCTGCCAGAGGCATGAGCCTCGCGCACAATGCCGAGAGGTAAGACATTAGTCTTGAGGCAGCGCGGAAACGAAGACACCCACCGAAAGCACAACTAATCCAGCCATTGATGGGGAATCGGGATGCAGTTCGTCGCATTCTTCACCTCCGATTAAGGATAGAAACCCGGGAGGGTGTTCGGAAGCTGAGGGCATAGCATAACTTCTTGCACCTAGCACTTAAGCCCTAAACCCTGGATTCGACGTTCGAGCAGATAGCCAGAGCCCGAAAGCCCGAAGCCCTGATCATCAGGAGCTACACTCTAGACCCTATAGACCCTGACACCCTGAAGCCCTGGACCACAAAAGCCCGACCCTAAACAACCCCATGCATTTCCGCGTGCCACGATCCACTTTGGAATCCAACTCTGCAAAACCCCGGAGCCAGGTATCGGGGCATTGCTTGGCTTAGGCTTTGGGGCTTTGTCGGGTGTAGGGCTCAAGGGTTGAGGGTTTAGGGTTTAGGGTTTAGGGTTTTAGGGTTTTAGGGTTTTAGGGTTTAGGGGGCTGAGGGACTTAGGGCTTGGAGTTGGAGATTTAGGTTCCTTTTGACTTCGGGGCTTGGGGACACCTCTTTTGCATATCTTCAGTCATCTTCCTCAAGTACACAGCAGAAGCCTCTTTGCAGAGGCCGGAATTCCGGACTTCAACCACGTCAAATGCTTCCAACTTGATTCACCCACAACAAGGAAACCACAAGGAGAACGTTTACCATTGATTCCTACGAAATGAGGGCACCCAATTTGTTGAACTTCAGCCCGTCGCCTAAGTACGGCTCCTCTTCAAGGGGGGGATACGGGGACCTAAACCCTAAACCCTAAACCCTAAACCCTAAACCGCATCTAGGCCCAGGGGTACCTTCCCAACCTTCCCACCAGCTTGTTTGTCAACAGGGCCCCTACTCCCTTAAGCAAGGGGTGCCGGGTTTAGGGTTTAGGGTTTAGGGTTTAGGGTTTAGGGTTTAGGGTTTAGGGGTTTGGGGCTTAGGGCTTGGGGGCTTAGGCCTCCATGGGGGAAGCTTATAACTGGCAGAGGTTGGTGTCCAAAAACAGCTGCTTCCATGACCCTAAACCCTAAACCCTAAACCCTAAACCCTAAACCCTAAACCCTAAACCCTAAACCCTAAACCCTTGAAACCCTAAACCCTAAACCCTAAACTCTAAACCCTAACCCTGAACCCTAAACCCTAAACCCTGAACCCTAAAAGAGCTTTAGGGCGGGGGGGGGGGCGGGCTCGGCATGTGGGCTTTGAGGGCCGAGGGTTTTCGGGTTCCGGGGCTTTAGGGTTCTCAGTTAGGGCTGTAGGGTTGTAGGGTTCCCATGTAGGGTTTCAGGCTTTGAGGGCTTTGGGGTGTCTAGGGTTCTAGGTTTGTCCGTTCGGGCTGTAGAGCTTCAGCATCAATTACCATTTAGGGGTTTAGGGCTTGAGGGTTGCCATTTAGGGTTCAGGCCTTTCAGGGTTTAGATCTCAAGGCTTTGAGCGTGAAGGGAGCCATACCTGCGCTCCGGGAGGATCTGGCAAAGCTGCAGATTTGAAAGAAGAGCTAGCTACGGACGCCATGGGAAGAGCACCAGCCGCAACCACGCCAAAAGTTTTGAGAAGGGCTCCCGTGTATAGAGGTGGAATCGTTGCCGAAGATTGGCATCGCGTCGGTGCGTCGTGCAGCGGCCGCTGTGGCAGAAGCCTTGAGTGCCACCATCGCTTGTGAGGGTCGCGCTGCAGCTTCGGAAGCCTAGGTTCTGGCATACGTAATTCTGGCGGCCTTAGTTGCGGAAGCCTGCGCTTGGGCATGGTTTTCGGATTTGCATAGGAGTTGTAGTTGCGGAATTCGTTGCGGTGGGGCGTGCGGCGCATGCAGTTGCAGAAGCCTTGCATTTTGGCACCGTTGGTCAGGGCGGCGCAGCGGCGGCTGCAGTCGGAATCCAGCGTTTCGGCACTGTTTCGTGAGTTTCTTGGCAGAAGCAGTCTTCATGTCATGTGCCGCCTGCCGCTGGCTTCACATGCGGTGCTTGCGTTTTGTGACTTGCTGTCCCGCAGGGAAGGAAACCAGCTCGCCATACTTGACACAGTCTTTGCACTTGTGTGTGCGCACGTGAGTGTGACAGGTGCAGGTGCTACTAGGCACATCAGGACTGTGCAAACAGCTCAATAATCACGTTCCCAACTTAATTGCTGCTGACGCTCGAGATCAAAACAGAGAATGCTTCTTTTTGCGAGTTCACCGAATCGTGTTGCGCGCGGCGTGCGTTCTCTACGCGGTGAACTTGCCTCGTGCGTCCTCGCGTTTGCATTCCTTGGACACCCATACGGCTTTAAGCTCCATATACTGAAAATCACTCCCACAGCCCAAACCGCAAACCCTAGACCTCCATGAGACCCCAAAGCGGCACATCCTGAAACGTAAACCCATGAACCTGCTCAGAGCGTCTTCCACGACTAGCGTGAGACTTCCTGGCTACCTGCATTCTGAGATATTCTGAGGGACCACCTTTAGTGTGTTCGTTCCTTCCCTCCTTGCCAGTGGCAGCTTCTCCTCTGTGGGACTCGAGACAGGAAGACCCAAGACACCAAACCCTCAACTCTCAGAGACATACTCAGTTGAGCTAAAACCCTGTGCCCACGAGGCCCGCAACCCTACTCAGCTGAGAGGGTCCGAGGTCAACACGAAGCCTGAAGCCACGGTCCACGGATGTTGGGAGCGAGTTGAGACCCACCCGGAGGCTTTTTTTGGGTCTCACACGTGACAGGGGCAAGTTAGGATAAACCCTAAACCTAAACCCTAAACCCTAAACCCTAAACCCTAGGGTGTGCGGCCTGAGGAGTTTGGTGGCCAAGGGTGTTGAGGCTTGGAGCTCTGGAGCTTGTCGAGTTGAAGAGTTGAGGTTGGGTCCCCCCTTATGCTAACAGTCCTTCATCAGAGGGGGGTACTATCATCCCCATTCAGGGTCCTTAATCACAGGGGGTAGTATCATCCCCATCCAGGACTGTTAGTCTAAGTGGGAGAACATCCCAAAGTTTAGGGTTCCGCGTCTAAGGCTTGGGGCCCAAGGGCAACCTTGAGACCCTGAAATCGGCCATCTGGAGCTCGCGACCTTTTGATTGGGTTTAGGGTTTAGGGTTTAGGGTTTAGGGTTTAGGGTTTAGGGTTTAGGGTTTAGGGTTTAGGGTTTAGGGTTTAGGGTTTAGGGTTTAGGGTTTAGGGTTTAGGGTTTAGGGCTGAGGGCTTAGGGCTTAGGGCTTAGGGCTTAGGGCTTAGGGCTTCGGGCTTCGGGTTTAGGGTTTAGGGTTTTTAGGGTTTTTAGGGTTTAGGGTTTAGGGTTTAGGGTTTAGGGTTTAGCCACAATAATTAGAACATGGTTTTGGGGAGGTTCTTGTAGTGTGATTACATAGGAACCATACTGGCAGCAATTATTCGACCCTACATTGACAGATGAACGGTAGCACGACAAACCCCTGAAAGCCAGGAAGCTCGGCCCTGAGCCAACACCCTGAAACCCAGAGAAGCGCTTAGGCGTAAAGATGCAAGCCTCTAAAAAGAATCCAGAAACTTCTCAACCTCCCAAGAGCCCCCAGCGCCCCTAGAATCCCTAAACCCTAAAATTCAGGCCTTCCTCCGGCGTGACTTGAAAGCATCGGACATACTCCTCTGGGGCCAAAAAGGACACTGGGGGTCGAAAAAAACCGAGGTCGCCTCAAGGCAAACTCCCAGCCTACAGTTTCCAGGTGCGACCCTTCCCAATCTGTCCTAATCTCGAACTCCCCACCACCACCATGAAGACTGTCGCCAAGAACCATCCCCAAGAGCTTTCGGCGCTTAAAAAGCGAACAACTTGGGTCCCCAACTTTCCTTAGTCCCTACAGCTTGAAACGCTCAAGCCCAAAACCCTCCCTACTAAACCCTAAATCCTAAACCCTAAACCCTAAATCCTAAACCCTAAACCCCCCCAAAAAAAGAACAAAACACAGCGCGGTAGGGCGCCTGGGACCTTCCAGGTGGATGGCCGCCCGCATGTCCTCCACCAAAGACGCGCTCCTGGTGCGGGGCAAGAAAGGCACGGGGTTTTGGGGGCTTATAGAGGGCAAGAGTGAGTAGGGTTTAGGGCTTAGGGTTTAGGGTTTAGGGTTTCGGGTTTAGGGTTTAGGGGTAAGTTTTTCAGTTTCACGGCTTACAGATGGTAGGAGTTCGGGTTTCAAGCTTGGTCTGCAGACCTGCCCACCTCAAGACCGCCCACTCACAACCCTCAGGGGCTGGAGGCTTGAAACCTAAACCCTAAACCCTAAACCCTAAACCCTAAACCCTAAGCCCTAAGCCCTAAACCCTAAACCCTAAACCCGAAACCCTAAACCCTAAACCCTAACCCTAAATTGGAAGCTCTTTCACATCAAACCAGAGAACGACAGGGACGTCACACCCCAAACCGCAAAAGGCTTGTATATATGTGCTTGACACGTTTGGCCTGCAAGGTCAAAAGTGCCAAAGGGACTTGGGTTGGCGATCTCCGTTTTGCGAAAGGGTTGCCGAGACTTGCGTTTGCGGAAGGTCAGTTGAGGCGCTAAGAGCTGACCTGTTTAGGGTTCGGGCTTAGGTTTTTTTTTTGGGGGGGGAGGGAACTTCTCAAACCCTCAACCCTAAACCCGACTTGAAGGTTCATGGGTAGTTAAAAGTGGGGGTTGTAAGTAGAGTGACTATACCTACAACTGGTTATAACCTTGTCCAACCCCACTTATAACTACCCATGAACCTTCAAGTAAAGTGTCGAGCCTCAGGCTTTTTAATCTCGGCTTGTTGCCGGACACCACGACGTCAACCAGGGTGGGCGGCCCGGAGTGGGCTCCGACTAAAGCGTTTGGGGTTAAGGGTTTAGGGTTTAGGATGTAGGGTTTACGGGTTCCGGCGATTTATGGTTCAGGGTTTCTAGGGTTCAGGGGTGTAGGGTTTAAGGTCCAGGGAGGTTCCCACCCTGCAGGCCGCGGATGAGGGCAGAAAACTCTGTGCAGCCAAGGCTGCTCACCCGCACTCAGGGGGATCTCGAAAATTCTCGGGTGCCACGTCGCCCCAAACCCCTAAACCCAGATAAACAAACAACCTAAACCCCAAACCCCAAACCCTAACCACCAAGCCCTGCACCCTAAACCCTGAACCCTAAACCCTAAACCCTAAACCCTGAAGCGCAAGGGCCTACCGAGCTCTATGTACACGGCAGTGGCCTCGGAAGACCTCCGGGCCGAAGCCCTCGCGCCCTCTCCACCAGCTGAGTCCAGGATGCTCCCATGTGCTGACATGCTAAGTTGGCACTGGTTTAGGGTTTAGGATCTAGGGTCTAGGGTCTAGGGTTTGGGGTTTAGGGTTTTGGGTTCAGGGTTTGGGATAGAGTCAAGTTCACCACCTGAACCCCAGTTGCTGGCGTCACTCGGCGCAGAAGACTTCGGCTCTGGTCACACTTCCGTCACACCATGGCTTCACGATTCGGCCACCTTTCCTCTCACTTACTTCTCTGCGCCACTAAGAGGATCTACGACCGACCCCGTCTCTGGCTTGACCTGGGCGGCGGAAGCGTCGCCGGCTTCCTTCTTCTCATCTGCCTCGCCCTCCTGCGGCTTAGGGCTGCAGGGCTTGACGGTTCAAGGGCTCTAAACCCTAAACCCTAAACCCTAAACCCTAAACCCTAAACCCTAAACGGCCCTAAGCCCTGCTTTTTGGATCCCCATTATCAAAACACGGCACCTAATATGTAGGGTACCCCAAAAGGGATCATAATTTTGACAGCCACCCATATGAGAAAAGGCCCCTTGCTAGCAGGGGGCGCCAGAGCTTTTCAACCCCGAAGCGTTTGCCGACTTAGGATTCCAGGACTTTGGGGCTTCGGGGAGGCTGCCTAAACCCAAACCCTAAACCCTAAACCCTAAACCCTAAACCCTAAACCCTAAACCCTAAACCCTAAAACCCTAAAACCCTAAACCCTAAACCACGCAACTTGCGCCTTCTCAGCCTCCTTCTTGTCCCAGAACTTGTCCATACCCAGAGGCACCAGGATTGGATCCAGCAAGCAAGGCGTCCTGCCCCCGCTGAGGGCCTCCAAGGGCTTCCGAAATGTCAAAACACGGGCTTCTAGGGTTTAGGGTTTAGGGTTTAGGGTTTAGGGTTTAGGGTTTAGGGTTTAGGGTTTGGGGTGAGGGTTTAGGGGGCTAGGGGGGGGGGTTAGGGTGCAGGCCTAAACAACCCCTCCCAAAAACCATCGGCAACCACATTCAGCCATAAGGGGGAACATCTCAAGCTCATGCCCGACCCTGCCCACCTTCACAACGACTCAGGCCATCTCGAACTCTGTGCTGCGATGGGCGCTGTAATGGGCGCTGCGGGATCTGCAGGTTTCGGCTACTTCTTGACAGCTCCTAGCATGCCTAAACCCTAAACCCTAAACCCTAAACCCTGAACCCTAAACCCTAAACCCTGAACCCTGAACCCTAAACCCTGAACCCTAAACCCTAAACCCTAAACCCTAAACCCTGTTCGAAAATCAAGCATCCTCTATGGGAATGGTGGAGACCTGAGCCGAAGATGCCTGAGGAGGCCCACCCTTGAAGCGCTGCGCAGACACTCCGGGCAAGACAAGGGCGGTTTAGGGTTTAGGGTTTAGGGTTTAGGGTTTAGGGTTTAGGGTTTAGGGTTTAGGGTTTAGGGTTTAGGGTTTAGGGTGTAGGGTGTAGGGTGTAGGGGTTTAGGGTTTAGGGCTTAGGGTTTAGGGTTTTAGGGTTTTAGGGTGTTAGGGTTTTAGGGTTTTAGGGGTTTCGGGGTTTAGGGGTTTAGGGGTTTAGGGGTTCAGGGTTTAGGGGTTTAGGGGTTTAGGGGTTTTAGGGGTTTAGGGTTTATTTAGGGGTTTAGGGGTTTAGGGGTTTAGGGGTTTAGGGGTTTAGGGTTTGGGGGGGGGGGGTCTGAAGTGACCAGAACACGACTCTGAGCCCCAGAACATGTCACTTGGGGGGGGACATTCCCTGCTATGCCTCTACCGTAACCCCAAAAGATTTCACCCTAAACATCCCTAAGCCCTAAACTTCAAACCGCTGCCGCAACCCCAAGTACCTTGAAGTACGCCTCAGAAGCCGTCCGCTCCCCGTCCTGGCCATCTTGCACTGGGAGCTCGCAACCTCGAGAGGCCGAGAGATCCAATGACCCTTGCGTCATTAGGATTTCGGGTTTAATTAGGGGTGAGGGTTGAGGTTTAGGGTTTAGGGTTGAGGGTGTTGGGTGACTTTACGGGAACTTTCAGAAGGCTAAGGAGTAGACCTTGAACAGAAAAGGTTTTGGGGTTTGGCGGTTGAGGGTTCGGTTTTCGAGCTTAAGTCCTTGTCAGGATTCTAGGTTTAACTCCTCAAGTAAGTGGCATTGGGCTCTCGACACTTAAAACTCCAAACCCCCGCCCTCCAAAAGCCCGTCCCAAAGCTAAACAGCCATTCCTGAACGTGACTTAAGGAAGCACACCCGAAACAGAACCAAAAAACAACCTCAGTCCAACCAAACCTCCGACCCAAAAGACATCAAGCAGAAGCTGCAAACCCAACGCGAGAAACACCATGAATGAAACAACCCTAAAACCCTAATTCCCAAAACCCTTAAAACCCTAGAACCCCAAAACCCTAGAACCCTAGAACCCTAAAACCCTAGAACCCTAGAACCCTAAAACCCTGAAACACCGTAAGCGGCGCTTGAACAAAAACAACCTCAGTCCAACCAAACCTCCGACCCAAAAGCCAAAAAGAACCCCAAGCCCTAAACCCTAAACCCTGAACCCTAAACCCTAAACCCCGAACCCTGAACCCTAAACCCTAAACCCTAAACCCTAAACCCTAAACCCTAAACCCTAAACCCTAAACCCTAAACCCTAAACCCTAAACCCTAAACCCTACGCGAGAAACACCATGAAACACCGTAAGCGGCTCTTGAACAAAAAAAACCTGCTTGACAACGGGCCTTCGCAGCGTCCTCGAAGCGCTTGACTGCCTGGCAGGCATATGGTTTAGGGTTTAGGGTTTAGGGTTTGGGGTTTAGGGTTTAGGGTTTAGTATGGGGTAGGATGGCATTCTCATCATCACTTTCTCTCCCTGTTGAGGCTTCTCGGCCTCCTCTACAGCAAAGCCTAGCCTGAGGCAGAAGGGCTTGGGCGTGCACGTAGCTAAATTTTTAGGGCAGCCCTGTGGCCCACTAAACCCTAGACCCTAATGTCCTAGAGCCCCGTACTTAGGTTTAGGCTCAGCTCGCAAGGCGCCGAGATTTCTGCCCAAGAACGGTAGATGGGCAGCGCTGCAAACTTGTGTACTCTAAGACAAAGGGAGAAAAAGGTCCCCTAAACCCTAAACCCTAAACCCTAAACCCTAAGACAAGGTGTTAGGGTAGGGTTTGGGGTGCCTCCTTCGCCACCTCCACCGCCTCCGGGCGGCTGAGGAAATCGTTGGCTGGGGCCGGCCTGCATGTGAGCGGGGGGGGGGGGGGAATTTTGAGGGTTTAGGGTTTAGGGTTTAGGATTTAGGGTTTAGGGTTTAGGGTTTAGGATTTAGGGTTTAGGGTTTAGGGTTTAGGGTTTAGGGAAGCGTTGCTTCAGGGTTTTTAGGGTTTTCTAGGGGTTATGGGGACCTCAAGCCTACCTGCGAGTCCAAAGCCCCAGCTCAGGGACTCTGATGACCCCGAAACCCTGAACCTACAGAGTCGAAGGGTTTTGAGGTTGCAGGCCAAGCCGCAACCCTGAAGCCCGAGACCTTTGAGGGTCTAAAGGTGACGCGTGTCAGAGTTCAGTTCTTAATCAGACTTCCATTAGTTAGGTACTCAAGAAGGGACCCTGGTATAGAGAATCATTTGACAGTGTAGGAGGGAGGCAACCATCAACCCGCAACCCCCAACCCTAGACCCTGAACTTCCTAAACCCAAGTACGGGAAGGGTCCGGCAGCACCCGCCTTCTTAGTTGGCGCATGTCCTACCTACCCAATCGAGGAGACTCTCGCACAGAGGAACCCTCAACCCTAAAGCCCCCAAAACTGCACCGCAGCCCAAGTGCCCAGCTGACGAGCAGTCTCGACACTAGGCTTGCTGGGAAGCTGCGCACCTGCGGCCACGTCATGTCGGGGGGGGGGGGGGGGGGGTGACTTTTGGGGGGTTTGAGGCTTCGCGCTGCTGGGGATAAGGTAGCATGGCTGCAGGGCCTCTCGCATGCTGTCAGGACAGCCGAAGAAACAGCGCCCACATAATGGCCCCCCCCGTGCTGCTCTGCGTACCAACTCGCGCAAGAAAAACACGTTCGTCGATCGACGACTCACGAATCTAGACTACCGTTTCTAGCAAGTCTGCCGGCCCAGCGCCTGTGCACAGTGCATCCAGATGGCGGCGGTAGTACTCCGCAAAGCGGGTAGCATACCTGCAACGTGTGGGCAAATCCGTCATGCCTAGAGCCAGAGTACCCTACATCAGCGCGTATCGAACGAAGGCCCCTACACAAGCAGGGGACCCCGAAATACACAAACCTCCCCATCGTCAAACCCTCTTCGGCCCTGAATCCCCACCCACCCACCCCAGCCAGAGCTTCTCATACCCAGAGCGCCTTTAAACAACCCGAAGCCCAAATCACAAGACCCAAAGCAACTCCTCTGACTTTGGAATCCCCAAAGCTCAAAGACAAGGCCCCATAATACCAAAATCCGGCCAAAGCCTTTGGCGCACAATAAGATGCAGTACCAGTGCTCTTCATATGAAGCCCTGACAATGCCAGAGCTCACCATGTAAAGCCCTAAGCCCCTCAAGCCCCTCTGGCACCCCCCCCCAAAAAAAAAAAACTTCACCCTAACCTTGCTTGAAGGCCCATGCACAGGTTTGAAAGTATGCACCTTGACTAGGGCCAGTATAGTTACAGCCACTCTACTTAACACCCGTGCCCTCAAGCCAAGCAGCTCCAAAACGAGTGTGCACTGCCTGCCTTTCAGAAGCCGGCAGTGCTTTCAGCTCCGCGTACCTGCGCGAGGGGTAAGGAGGGCGAGGTGGTAAACCCTTGCTACGCCCAGGAGGGGTGAATCTTGAATATCTTAAACACTAACCCCAGGCTTGAGGTGGTTGGGGACCCAGGTAACCCGAAACACTGAACTTGAAGGAAGTTTGAAGGCCCTGAGGTTTATAGGTTTATGAAGCTTCCCCCATGTGACTCGCGCTTCAGGAGTTGAAAGTTTAGGGTGTTGGGTCTCGGGTTGAAGGTTTAGGGGTTAGGGGCTCAGGAGTTTAGGCGGCCTTGGAGTTGGCCCGGTGGAGGAACTCCCTCTAGGGTTTGGGGTTTAGGGTTTAGGGTTTAGGTTTTAGGGTTTAGGGTTTAGGGTTTGGGGTTTGGGGTTTAGGGTTTAGGGTTTAGGGTTCAGGGTTTAGGGTTTAGGGTTTAGGGTTTAGATGGGTTTAGGGTTTAGATGGGTTTAGGGTTTGGATGGGTTTAGGGTTTAGATGGGTTTAGGGTTTGGATGGGTTTAGGGTTTAGATGGGTTTAGGGTTTAGATGGGTTTAGGGTTTAGATGGGTTTAGGGTTTAGATGGGTTTAGGGTTTAGATGGGTTTAGGGTTTAGATGGGTTTAGGGTTTGGATGGGTTTAGGGTTTAGATGGGTTTAGGGTTTAGATGGGTTTAGGGTTTAGATGGGTTTAGGGTTTAGATGGGTTTAGGGTTTAGATGGGTTTAGGGTTTAGGGTTTATGGTTTAGGGTTTCGGGCCTAAGTTGAGGGTTCAGGGTCGACGGCGACTTCTTGACCACCACAACCTCCCGACCAGGCATCTCACAGATTCAAGAAGCCCATCCAAGGTCTGGAACCCTAAACCTTCTACCCTAAACCCTAAACCCTAAACCCTAAACCGCTAAACCCCACAGAAACCCCCAACTCAAAGAGGGGGGAGGGCACTCATCGAGGCAAGACAAGAACGCCTCGTTGCCACCAGCCTCACGCAAGGCGGAGGGTTGAGGGTCTACGTGGAGGCTCATGGGTAGTTCATAAATGTAAGGCAGCTGTAGTTCCAACTGGCTATGACCTGACGTAGGGTACTTTTAACCCTACTTAGAACTACCCATGAACCTTCAAGTAGGACTTGCGGCGGTCCCCGTCAGGCTTTCAGGACGCTTGAGCATTTGGTGATTCAGAATGTACGGCATCTGGGTCACGAAGTCACGCAACACACACACACACACACACACACACACACACACACACACACACACACACACACACACACACACACACTTACTTACTTTCTCAGGACCACCCGGAAACACGAAGACGACATGTCCTTTGCGCCAAGTTGAGGCCGAAGCAGTCATGTACTTCAGGTCGCCCTTGGTCCAGCCCCAGCCATCATTCAGCTGCCTGGCAGATGCAGTACTTGGGGGGTTTAGGGTTTAGGGTTTATTGAATAGGGTTTAGGGTTTAGGGTTTAGGGTTTAGGATTTAGAATTTAGGGTTTAAGGTTTCGGGCTTAGGGTTTAGGGTTTAGGGTTTAGGGCTACTTGGAGGTTCATGTGGGTAGTTATAAGTAGGGTTATAATTAGGGTATCTATACTTCTAACCTTACTTAGGGCACTTACAACCCTCGTTATAAATACCCGGAGAGCCCAATAGTGCTTTATTAAGGAATTCCCTTAAATCATATCTAGGATCCCTTTATAGTTTAAGGTATATTCCTTAATTAAGGGGTATTGGGCTCTTTAGGTGCCCATGAACTTCCCCAAGTACTGTCGCAGATGCAGCATCACCAGTCTAGGCTTCCGCAGAAAGCTGCTGATGTCACTGCCTGCAATTTCACGACACCGTTGTTAAGTTCGGGCTGGGGGTTTTGGGTTTAGGCTTTGGGGTTTAGGGTTTAGGGTTTAGGGTACTTAAGAACACGTTTGCGCTGATACGTTGCTCCCTTGAACTGCAGCAGGCAGACGTTGAAACTCAAGCTGCTGAAGAACAAGGGCACCGAAAGCCGCCAACCACAACATCTAAGGTAGTTACTACATGGTCCCTTAGCTTGGGCCCTTGAAAGGGTACCCTTATATTCCCCTTATAGGCCCTATACAAGTTGAAGGGCCCATGCATCAGAACCCTTTACAGGAGGTTAGGGACCCGAACCCCTTCTGGCGGAGGCTTTGGGCGGGCCTGACGAGGCTTCTGCTTGGACCCAGGCACGTGTGCCCCTGCGAGGGATGAGGAGGGCCAGAACATGTGGGGCTGAGATCTTCACTGGGCACTCTGGAGGGGGGGAGGGGGTCTCTAGGTACACCTTCGGGTGTCGGGTGTAGGGTCGAGGGCTCATCTTTAGCAAACCCTAAACCCTAAACCCTAAACCCTAAACCCTAGGGTCAAGGGCTCCTCTTTAGCAGGCTGTTCCCGACTGCGCTGCTTCAGAAGCGTGCCTCCACGCACTTGGCACACACATAGGTGCCGAAGGAGATAGAAGCCCTGGGAGCTCAGGGGTTCAAGGTTCTCTTTACTTATATGTATATATATATATATATATATATATTCTATCTATCTACCGATCTATCTATCTATCTATATGCATTTAGATGTGTGTGTATATATATATGCATTATATATATATCTCTCTCTCTCTCTCTTTCCCTTTTTGGGGGGGAGGGAGGGGGGAGGGGTTTAGGGATCAGAAGATCTTGGGGATGGAAGAAGGAGGAAGCTGGAGCAAAAAGACGGGCGTTGATGTGCGAGGACTTGGACAAAATGCTCGGTAGAACACAACATGGGGGGCTTCGTGGGGCTGATGTCATCATTGCGAACTCCAAGGCAAGAGCACTTATATAGAACCTTTGTGCTCGAAAGATCTCGAAGGTATGGATATACCCCAACCAAAAAGATGAAACCCAAATCAGCCCCCATCAGCCCCCGAACCCTCAAACCCTGAACTCCTAAACCCCTCAACCCGAAAAGCCCAAATAACTGAGCAGCCGGGCCAATCGGCCGAACCTTCTCCACCGCAGTCTACGCACTGGCGATCCTGAAGCGGGCCATGGGAGAGGAAAGGTTGTGTGTTAGTAGCTTGCTTACGGTGTTTAGCTTTGACGGCCTTAAGGCTTCTTTTTGAAGGTTACGTACTGTCGTTGGAGTTCTTAGGGCTTGGGGGCCCCAAACCCTAAACCCTAAACCCCAAAGCCTAAACCCTAAACCCTAAACCCTAAACCCGAAGGTTCTGATGCAGACATGCCGGGCTCAGCTTGCTTGAAAACTTTGGGTCGTTGGGGGGTTGGGGACACCCGGGCTTTTTGGGCGTTGGGCGCTCTTTCCCCACCCCTCAAAACTACCCAAAGGTGTCTGTAAACCTTACATCCCAGAACCTCAAAAACCTCAAAACCCGTGAGAAGTTGAGAACCCTGTGGGGTGTTGGACTCCGCACACAAGCACTTGGAGCCCTTAAAACTTAACACTTAAGACTGATGCCCGAGCCCTTGCGCCCTGAAAGCCCTGAATGCTAAACTCCGGTTCAAGCCAAAAGCCCAAAAGCCCAAAACTTGAAATCCCAAGTCCCCGGAAGCCCTAAACCCCCAAGAACGCCCTGAAACCTCAAACCCCCAAAGCTCAATCTCCGATTGACACCCGGGCTCCTTTGGCCGCCGTCGCTGGAACACCGACAGAGCTGCCTCCCGACGAAGGTTTGGGGGAGTGCACTTGGAGGTTCATGGGTAGTTAGAAGTGGGGTTACAATTAGGGCAACTATTCTATAGTTACAACGGGTTATAACCCTTATCTAGGAGACTTATAACCCCACTTATAACTATCCATGAACCTTCAGGATCCTAAACCCTAAAACCTAAAACCCTAAAACCCTAAACCCCTAAAACCCTAAAACCCTAAAACCCTAAAACCCTAAAACCCTAAAACCCTAAAACCCTAAAGGTTCAACCTTCAGGTTTGGGGTTTGGGGGTTTGATTCGGGTTGAGAGAGCTTAGGCTGTAGGGCTCCCCTCTTGATCCCAAGGGAGGCAAGCCTACCCCTCCACCACCCAAGGGTTTAGGGTTTAGGGTTTAGGGTTTAGGGTTTAGGGTTTAGGGTTTAGGGTTTAGGGTTTAGGGTTTAGGGCTTTGGGGGTTGAGGGCCTTCGGGTTTAACTTTCCGACTCTGTCTGGAATTGATTCCTCCGAAGCAAGTAGCTTCCCAACTCCGGTCAAGAACTCGCTTGACACTAGTTCATTATGGGCATAATATTAAAAATTTAAATTTTAAACCTTATTGAGTTTAAGTACCCTTAAAAATGTGAAATGTTGCCCACCTATGACAAAGGACAGTGCCGGTCTAAGAATAGCATTCAAACTGTGTCCGGATTGTTTGCACGGACGCGAAGAATAAGTTGATGGGTTTTGGGGTTTTCGGAGTTTTCGGGCTGTAGAGGTTCAGGAAGGTGTCTGGCCTGGGCAATTCTAAACCTGAAACGACCCTGCGACCCTGATGCCACTGGGCCGGTGGCCTCCGAGCCTGTCGGGCCCTCAGGACCCAGTCCCTCGAAGTGGATGTCAGCCTGCCATTACAGCACAAAAAGCCCGGAATTTTGAGTCATGGGCCATGCTCCGGTGCCCTAAACTCTCCGGGGAATTTACCCAGTCCTCTTCGAACCCTTAAGTCCACAAAGGCTTTGAAGCCCCCCAAAGCTCTCTACCCTGAGCCCTCCCTGAAAAAACAAACGATCCCAAACAGCCCTCCAAGATCCGAAAGGCTCTCTTGGAGGCTCGTGCGTTTCCAGTAGGGCAACTATGGCTAGTAACGCTACTTAAGGTGCTTCTAACCCTACTTATAACTACCCGTGAGCCCCTAAAAGCCCTAAACCTAAACTCCCAAACCCGAACCTCCAAGTAGAAAGGAACGGCTCAAAGGGGCCTTCTGCAGAATTCGATGCAGGGTGTCATCACCCCCAACCCCGCTGATGGTGCGCAGGGGCCGCTCCTCAGAGCGAGGCTACGAGTCTGGGAGCCGCCGGGCCCGATTTTTTGTGGGTTTGGGGTTTAGGGTTTAGGGTCTAGGGTTTAGGGTTTAGGGTTTAGGGCTTGGGGTTTAGGGTTTAGGGTTAGGGTTTGGGATTTCGGTTAGGGTTTAGGGTTTGGGGAGGCGGGGTCAAGCCTTCGGATCTCGGCATGGCTTTTGGTTGGCCATAGTTGAGGTCTTTGGGAGGGTCTGGTGGTCTAATATAGGGGTCGGAAGGATTACTAGCAGCATTCCCTTATGGTCTCTTTGTAACTATACTACAAGAACCCGCCAAAACCCGATTCTAATGATTCAGGCCCCTGTGTCAGGGTGTGTTTGGGAGCTTTGCCGGCTTTTGGGAGCTTGGGGCCTAAACCCTAAACCCTAAACCCTAAACCCAAGGCCTTTAAACCGGCTGTCAGCTTTGGGAGCCCTTACTTGAGAGGTGCATGGGTACTTATTCGTAGGGTTAGAAGTACCTGAAGCAGGGTGTTGTGCCATAGATACCCTACATAAATTCCTGCTTCTACATGCCCGTAAGTCCCTTCACCCAGGATACCTAACCCCCGAAACTCCCAAGACTTCCAAGCACAAACCCCCATACCCGAGCCCTTCATCCGCCGCGAGCCGTCCTTGCTATCGTGGCCCGGGCGCGGACGGAGCCAGTTCACAACCACGGAGCCTCAGGGTTTAGGGCTTAAGGTTTAGGGTTTAGGGTTTAGGGTTTAGGGTTTAGGGTTTAGGGCTTGAGGCTTCCAGGGTTCCTTTATTTAAGGCAGAGGGGGTGTGGAACTGATCTCAGGAGTTTTTTAAACTGAAGCTAAACCCCGCGTTGAGGGTTTTTAGGGCTCAGTGGGCAACTCAAGAGCGCGCCCGGCGAAAACGGCCACAGCGACGGCAGCTGACGGGACTTGGGGCATTTGGGGCTGAGGGTCTGGAAGCATTCGGTCCAAGCAGTGCAGGCGTCTGAATGTGAGATCCTGCAGCTCTAAACCCTCAACAGCCCAGCTGAATTTGAAAACCTTAACAGGGGAGGTTGCTACCAATTTTGTGTTACGTCGACATGCTTCCCCGCCCCAACTCCCACCCCCAGTATGATTGGGAGCTGCACCATCCGGCAGGACCGTGTGGATGGTCGCATCGTAGTAGTTTCCATCCTTGGGGCGGACTTCCAGCTACATTGCAAACTGGACGTCTTTTTTATCGAGTTAGCCTTTATGGACTTTAAAAAGTGTGTATGACTCTGTATGGACCGATGCATGAATTTCCCTAAGACCCCCCTCACACTCCTGAGTCCCTAAACCCCTGAACTTTGACTGCCTGGCCACCCCCCCAGAAAAACCAAAAACACACAAAACTGGTGCCTAGAGCCAGGAGCTGTGCTTCCCCAACTTCCGGGTTTAGGGTTTAGGGTTTAGGGTTTAGGGTTTAGGGTTTAGGGTTTAGGGTTTAGGGTTTAGGGTTTAGGGCTATGCCTGATTTATATTCATGGGCCTTGCCGGGGGGGGGGGGGGGGTGGTCTCTACTACAATATCCACAAGGGCCCGGTATGTTGAATCCACCCCAGGGGCTGCTTAGGGTTTAGGGCTTAGGGCTTATGGTTTAGGGTTCAGGGTTTAGGGTTCAGGGTTTAGGGTTTAGGGGGTTTAGGGTTTAGGGTTTAGGGTTTGGAGTTTAGGGTTTAGGGTTTCACGAGACCTTTTTTTGCGGAAGTTTTGCAAGGTCAGGAAACAAGGAGCGCATCTTGCTAGGAGGGCTGCAGGGCGAAACCCTCAACCCTAGTTTTATCACAGTGGGGGTGCGGGCACCCAGTATGCGCGCGGGCGAAACGATCCGAACTCCAAGCCCTGCCCTTTTTATGCCGCAAAATGCACCAAGAATCCGCCCGCACGTATGTGCGTATATGCGCAGAGTGTGACCCTTCGTCCCCAAACCAACAGAAGCGAAAGCCCTTATAAAGGCTTCAAGCTAACCCTACTTGAAGGTTCCTGGGTACGTTTATGCGTAAGGTGATACATCAAAAAGCACCTTAGGCAGGCTCAGACCCACAGCTACCCTACTTCCAACCCTGCTAAAAACTACCCAAGCCTCCCGGTAAGGTTCTGAAAACCCTAAACCCTAAACCCTAAACCCTAAACCCTAAACCCCTGGGCCCCAGACCATCCATCTGGCGCGGCACCTGCTCCCTGCACCTCGGCACCCGCGCTGCTGGAAGAGCTTGGAGGTGGCGCTGGGTTAGGATTTAGGGTTTAGGGTTTAGGGTTTAGGGCTTAGGGTTTAGGGTTTAGGGTTTAGGGTTTAGGGTTTACGGTTTGGGATGTTCCCCCTGACACTAACAGTCCTTGATAGAGATTCTAGTACCTCCTATTGGAATCCCTATTGAGGACGGCTAGCAAGACGCCGGAACATGCCAAGGTCTACTACTTGAACCCCATTTGGGCGTTAGGGACATTAGGGTCTGAGTCTTGGGGATTCCTTGTGAATTTGGGGTTCAGAGAGACGGGTGGCCTTGTGTGACCTTGCCTTGCGCGCCGAGCCCCGGGCAAAGCTCGCTGACCGGCGAGGTCGACGAGGAGGCCGGGCAAAGCGCTTTCTGAACAAGCTCGCACAGCTGCCTGCCAAGCATGAGCGGCTTCGTCCACAAGAGGTCAGGCTTGGCAGGATCTTGCAAACATCAGCGTTGAGTGTCTGCAATTTGGGGTTTGAAGTCGTTTCTTGCTCTGGACGCCTGACTCAGAGACCCTTCGCATCTTTGTTCCCCGCACCTGTTTTCCTCGAAGGCGCCGTACACGGCTTCCGCCGCCACCTTCAAGCAGTTTGGGCATTAGGCCTGAAGGCTTCGAGATGTAGGGTGGCTGCAAGCATGCTTCATGGTCAACAAAAAAGCCGTCTGCGGTGTAAAGCCATGGTTTCCCATGCCTGGGCAGCGTTCACGACCCCGCTTGGAGCAACGACGAGGGCAGAGAGCCTCCCCATGTTTGCCAGGATCTCGCTTGCTTCGGAAGAAAGTTGGTTTAGGGGGCTTAGGGTTTCGGGTTGCAACACTGGCAGAAATGGCGACGCTTCTGTCTCCGCCCCTGGCTGGCTAAGGGCGCGCGCGAGCAAAACCCTGTCGCCCTCAAGCTGACCAAACCCCACAAAGACCCTGGGCCCGAAATCCACAAACCCCTAAAACCCCCCCTAAAACCTCCCTCAAACCCTTAACCCCCGCAACCCTAAACCCTAAACCCTAAACCCTAAACCCTGAACCATTTCTGGGGCTGGCGCCGGCCCTCCTCCGCTGCGAGGTGCTCCCTCAGCGCGGAGAGGAGTTCGGCGCGCCTGATGGAGCGGGGGTATTATTAGGGTTTAGGGTTTAGGGTTTGGGTTTCGGGTTTCGGGTTTAGGGCTTAGGGTTTAGGGTTTAGGGTTTAGGGTTCAGGGTTTAGGGTTTAGGGTTTAGGGTTTAGGGTTTAGGGTTTAGGGTTTAGGGTTTAGGGTTTCGGGTTTCGGGTTTCGGGTTTAGGAGGCCAGGCTGGGGTGTTAGGGCTTGGGGTCTAGGAGTAGAGCTGCTTCAAAGCCCAGGCATTTCCAAAACGTGCGAAGTTTAGGCGGCATGTACAAGCTCAGTCGTGGTTCTAGGCTGGTCCCAAGTTACGGTCCTCTTTGGGTTGGGGTCTCTTTTCCGAGCGCCCTGTAGGAGGCTCGGAGCCCGAGATGAGATTACAGTGGTGTCCGGCGATGAGCCCTAACTAGCAGTATCATGGCCCCTTGTTGGGTGCCGGCCACCTTATAATAAGGACCCCCAAGAAGGGACCATATTTTGGAGAAGTGATCATCTGATCCCACAGAAGCTCTCGGGAGCCCACAGACACCAGCCAGAACCCAAAAGCGGAAACCCTAAGAAGCCCTCATCAAACCCCGACCCTGCAAACCCTCAACAGGAGCCCACACCCTTAAACCCTCAAGCCCCTAAACCCTGAATCTTGGACCCTACAACCCGCAACCCGCAAGCCCAAACCCAAGACGCCTGAGCTGCAGTTGGGCACCGAAGCGCTCGACCGAGCGCCTGGAAACCGAAACCGTGGGGTTTAGGGTTTAGGGTTTAGGGTTTAGGGTTTATGGTTTAGGGTTTAGGGTTTAGGGTTTAGGGTTTAGGGTTTAGGGTTTAGGGTTTAGGGTTTAGGGTTTAGGGTTTAGGGTTTAGGGTTTAGGGTGTAGGGTTGGCTCAGGATGCTTTGATAAGGAGGCCCCCAAAAGGGGTGCCCTGACTGAGAAGAAACACTTTTCCCGAGCTGGGGCACTTAGGATACGGGGCTGGGGACCCCAAGCTTAAGCACCCCAAGCTTAAGCACCCCTGTAAGCACCCCAAGGCCCGAAACCTGAAAGCCGAAATAAGCCCAAGTTTGACTTTAAACCTAGGGTTTCAGGGCCTCTGATCGGGGTTTGGGGGTTAAGGGCAGGTTCATTGGGTGCAGGGTTTAGGGATTTTCGTGAACCCGAAGACGCTTCTTCATTCCTGCCTAAGCTCACAAGCCAAACGCCTAAGCCCCTCAACCCTGAAGCCCGAAACCAGCCGGACCCCGGCACACTTAGACCACTAAACCCTGAAACCCCAACTTGAAACCACTAAACCCTGAAACCCCAACTTGAAGAATCAAACCTTTAACCCAAGGTGCTGGTTCTCTGCCGCGAGGTTCTCCGCGATGCCAGACAAAGCCCCGGCAAGCTCGCAACCGGCCTGGAGGCGGGCAACAAGGATACCATGCCAAACCTCAAACTCCCTGAAGCCCTAAACCCCAAACTCCGTGAACCCCAATTTCCTAAAACCCTAGAACTCTCCAACCACGAACCACGAACACCCCGAAAGCGTAAACCACAACCCCGCCCCGCCCCCCCGCCCCCCCCAACCCAACTTTCCTTCGATCATCCCCACCCAGCAGCTGAT